TTTATTCCGGGAGATTATCCAGTTCATGATTGTGATTGTGTGTACGAACGTTGATCCCCGAACGTTAAATAACAACACCGGGTGGATCATAAAAAATCAATGCGACGTGCCTTGTCATGCCAAGGGTGTTATTAGAGTAGAGTGCGCCCTCGTCTGCAACAGGGGTGACGATTACGTTCGGCGGGGCGCAAATATTGGGGTGCCAAAAAAACCGGCGACGTTGTTTTCCATTAGTAATACGGGGCCAGACAAGAAAGCAAATCGATATTAGATGTGAAAAATAAAGTTATAAATTAAAAAATTGTTTACTTGGAAAATAATTATAAATTCTTTTAATGTTTTATTAACTGGTAATTTGTCTGTGTCTTTTGGAGGTTAAAATACATAAATAAGTTTTATATAATTAGAATTGATTTATTTTTTAAATTCCTCGACAAAAATTTATTAATATATCACATGAAAGTATTTGAGCTCAAGAATATTATTTTTTTGTAGTACTCCCGCATACAAAGTTAATAATATTAAAATCTCTATTTTGTTGCAAGCTTCTTTTGCTTCGTTAATTTTCGTATGCAAGACTTAATTAATTAACTCGGTTAAAAATTGATTTTATTTCTGAAACGTGCAGAAATAGACCAATTTAATTAAGATACCCCCTAGTACAGGATGAAAATACATTATTAGGCCATGTCCGATAGTGGAGCCATCGAGAAGAACGGCGCCGTCCGAAAAGTCGGTAGATAGAGAGGGGATTGAACGGGGTAGAGAAGAAGAGAAAAAGAGTTTGGAAAGGAAGGGGGACGGTGAGAGATGGCGCATCGTCCGCTAGGAAAGAAGAAGTATAGCATAGAATGGGGCCCGATGGAACGAAGTAATACGAACGATGGTAAGAAGAAAAAGATTCGATCGACGGCCGGCGGCGGCGGCCGCGTCGCATCGCTACCCCCACCACGACGTCCGCCGCCGCCGCCTGTCCGCTTAAAAAGAGGCCGCGGGTCACTAGACAAAGAAAAAAGAGCACTTAAACAAAGACGGTCAATATTTTAACCTATGAAATTAATACGTTAGGACAGAGTGCGCGAATGGCGGCTCCCTAACCGAACGACAGAGAACGCAGTCGGTCCGGTGAACAAGGAAACTAGAGCTGAAACGAGGAGCACACCGCCCGAACAGAACCGTACTTAGCCCAAAACTAAAATTTCACACATTAAACCACAATTACTGAAAATTTTATATAAAACACTGTTATAACAAAACCTTCGTAATATCAATGTCAATTCGATATTTTTATTCAGAATTTTAAAATAATTAATTCTATCGATTAAAAAAAAAAGTGAGATTATACGTATAATATACAACCACTAAGAAATAAGTATCAATATTTGCATATCTTGATGGATTAAAAATTAAGCCACTTAATGAAATAGATGTTCTACTTATGATAAATTTTATTGGATTAAAATAAATATAATAAAACTAAACTGTTGCATTTTTTATCATTTCTTGTCAAAACGATTAAAAAATATATATATAAGGTTATACGATTTTACTACACGTATTATTATTACCCTGGCCGGACTCTGACATGACCTTGATCTTAAGATCTCACCTAGACCGATAAACCTTAAGTACTTAATGAGTACTACCTTAAAGGAAGAAAATCACTGACTCCTTTTATTTACTACCCATTTATGATTAACTTTGGACCACTACTTGGACGAAAACCTTGATTTCAACCTTAAGCTAAGCTTACAGACTTCATAACAACTTCAAAGTCAGGTGAAATGCAGAAAGAAATTTTGATGGACTCAAATTTGATCACAATTTAGTAAATATTTTTGATTAAAAAGCAGGAATGCTCAACAAATAACTAGAAAATTTGATCAAAAAAATTTTGCACAAAGATCAAAAACTTGACGAGACTTGACTTGATTTAGATGCTGTCGCTAACACTAACTCTATTTTTTAATTCGAAGGAGTGTTTTCAAATTGAAGTGCCAGAAAGATGGGTTGCTATTGGTCAGTTTTAAGCAAAAAATACACTAGGAAAATTCGACATGTTGCCGGCCGCCTAGAAACATTCTCTCAGTATGGCTAAACTCGAAACTTTCTAGTTCTAGGTGTAGTGTTAGTTCTAGTTTTAGTTCAATAAAAATATACAACATAGTAATATCTAATGCTAACTAGCGCTACCTACTACTGCCACTAACACTAGACCGAGAACTAAAAACATTCGGATTTAGCCCCACGTCTCTCAAGACGGCTAAACCCGAATGATTCTAGTTCTAGGTCTTGTGTTAGTTCTAGTGATAGTGCTAGAGTAAAACTAGAACTAACACTAGACCGAAAACTAGAAACATTCGAGTTTAGCCCCACGTCTCTCAAGACGGCTAAACCCGAATGATTCTAGTTTTAGGTCTTGTGTTAGTTCTAGTGTTAGTATTAATCTAGTTTTATTTATTATTCAGCGCTAGACGAACGGTGCCTTCTCCGTATTAATCCGTTATATCGAGGTTTTGTGTAATGTCAAATAATATTGATATGTTGCATTTTATGTGGGACAAAGTACAATGCGATCAAGAAAGCCGGTCCGCTAAAAACTACTTTCCCAAGCGTTTGATGCCAATACTTACTGCCCTCGTCACTGCGGTCACACCCTCCTTCCAATTGTTTTAAATAGTGGTGGGGAAAATGGGAGGAAACTTTTAGTTTAGTAAACATAACCTTAAAAGATCGGGTGGCGAGGTGGCCAACATCCTCTACCAATTACTCGATCATCATAAAATTCTTGAAGGAATCTTTCGGTTGCATTATCATGTTGAAAAAATCGTTCTTGCAATTCATCATCATGTAATTCTTGTTCAATGAATTCTTGTAACAAAGCACTTTGACAACTTTCCTAATGTGATGACATAAAGTGGTATCATAATTCACTACATTTTGAGGGAATGTCTTTCTAAATTCCTCTACACAAAGACCTGTTGAATATTTTGATTTTTTTACTCCATTTCGAAGATAAGATCGGAGAAGAAACTTTGAAACTTGTCTTCTTCTAAGGTGAACGGCCTGATTTAACCTAAAAATAAATAAATTAACGAAATTTATACCAAACCGATTTAAAATAAAATAATTATTTACCGTATAGAAAAATCACAATCGAATTTTTGTCTTAATAAAGACAGATAATATTAAATAAAACCGCAATAAATTCAAAATGAAATACATATTTAAAACACCAAACGCCAAAACCAAGAACCATTGAAACTAAAAATCGATATCACCTCATCAACCAATAAGAACGTTGAAAATTAAAAACAAGTAGAGGTAAGAGGAGGCTGTGACGAGGGCAGTAAGTATTGGATCAAGCGCTTGGGAAAGTAGTTTTTCGTAGCAAGTACTGTGTAAATCTGACTTTTATTTTACTCCTCCGAATTATGAAATAGAGTATAGTGTTGAAACCCAACACAACCCAAAACTTTCTAGTTTTTACTAGTCTAGTGTTAGCAACCCGAAAGTTTCTAGCACTATTACTACAATTAACACTAAACTTTCGGGTTGAGTTGGGTTGCAACTTAAATTAATACCGGTCGTGAAAGCCTTTATACTTATCCGATGGTTAAGTAATTTAAATTTTTTATTTTTTTCTAAAAATTTGATAGAATTTTAAAAATTACATTTCTTGTCAAAACGATTAAAAAATATATATATAAGGTTATACGATTTTACTACACGTATTATTATTACCCTGGCCGGACTCTGACATGACCGTGATCTTAAGATCTCACCTAGACCGATAAACCTTAAGTACTTAATGAGTACTACCTTAAAGGAAGAAAATCACTGACTCCTTTTATTTACTACCCATTTATGATTAACTTTGACCTTACTGGTGCACTACTTGGACGAGAACCTTGATTTCAACCTTAAGATGAGGTGATTGGCTTACAGACTTCATAACAACTTCAAAGTCAAGTAAAATGCAGAAAGAAATTTTGATAGACTCAAATTTGATCACAATTTAGAAAATATTTTTGATTAAAAAGCAGGAATGCTGAACAAATAACTAGAAAATTTGATCAAAAAAATTTTGCACAAAGATCAAAAACTTGACGTACTGATATGAGCACATAAAGTTTCTAGATTTAGAAACTGTCGGGTTGCTAACACTAACTTACCTTATAGAAAAATCACAATCGAATTTTTGTCTTAATAAAGACAGATAATATTAAATAAAGCCGCAATAAATTCAAAATGAAATATTGAAAACACCAAACGCCAAAACAAAGAACACGACTCTGAGCTCAGCTGAAACTAAAAATCGATATCACCTCATCGACCAATAAGAACGTTGAAAATTAAAAACAAGTAGAGGTAAGAGGAGGCTGTGACGAGGGCAGTAAGTATTGGTATCAAGCGCTTGGGAAAGTAGTTTTTCGTAGCAAGTACTGTGTAAATCTGACTTTTATTTTACTCCTCCGAATTAAGAAATAGAGTATAGTGTTGAAACCCAACACAACCCGAAACTTTCTAGTTTTTACTAGTCTAGTGTTAGCAACCCGAAAATTTCTAGCACTATTACTAGAATTAACACTAAAAAACTCTAAACTTTCGGGTTGAGTTGGGTTGCAACTTAAATTAATACCGATCGTGAAAGCCTTTGTACTTATACGATGGTTAAGTAATTTAAATTTGTTATTTTTTTCTAAAAATTTGATAGAATTTTAAAAATTACCTTAAAAATAGTGTGTAAATTTAGGGGTTGGCATAGTCCGGTCCTGAATGGTTCGTCCGCTCGCTTTTTTCTTACTTTTCTCTCTTCGGCCGCCGAATGCAGCAGTAGACGACGCGCGTATACGTAATTACTAGGCATAAGACAAGGATGGCGTACGTCCGTTTCTGCGGCTGGTGCATCTGAGAGGGACGGCTAGAGCTCGTCATAGATACCTACCGGGTAGGAGAATAGCGAACAAGGGAGAGGGAAAATGCAAGTGCATGCAAGCGCCGTCGTTGTAGCCTAGCGTCGTACTTGTTGCGTCAGTCCGTGACGTTGCACTACAGTCGCTGGTTACTTCGACACACACACACCACCACTCATTCAGTTTTCTCTTGTTTTTTCGGTAAACGGTGCACCAAAATTGTTATTAAAAAGAAACGCGAAAAGGTTTTTTCTCAAAATTTCTTCCCGGCCGATTTTTCTCTCGAAAAACCGAAACGCGCCCCCTCGGACTAACAGCGATATAACAAGATTAAAGGTAACGTCCCTTTCTTTACACGTTAAAAATAGAACGTAAACTTACCTTTATACTCCGTTTATATTGACCCTTATTATATTTATTCCTCTCATTTTTTTATTTTTAATTACAGGATCGACAATGGATCTTAAAACGAACGTCGAACTACCAGTAACAGGATGCAACAGTCGCAAAAATCTGCACCACATAACGAATCAGTAATAGTAAAATAGTGAGAAAAAGAAGAAACAGTTCAAGTTTGAAATAATTTTTCAAGTGCGACCAGTGAGACAGAATTTAAAGAGTAAAACAAAAAAAGTACAGTGACACCTACCGGTTGTTTTCGTTTTTTGTTTTTAATTTCTTTTTCATTTTCGTTTCGAGTGCAATCCCCCTTAGTAATACTTAAACCGAATAAAAAAACCGGGCGAGCAACAAAAATAGTAAATAATAAAATAAAAGTTCTCTTGGTGTAATGATCGTTTGGAAGAAGCAATGGGCCAAAGTAATCTATGTTTTTCGATACACCCTTACGTCGTGGTCAGTGTTTTAAAGCTTACGACGCCTTGTAAAAATGGCGGACTGTTCATATTCGCGATGTATCCAACAGAAAAGAAACATTAGAAGGGAATTACAACGATGGACAAAAAATATGGTGTACATAGTTGGTGAGTACAACTTCTTTTGTGTTCTGTTACGTTTCGAAATGATTCTCTCGCGCACTTCAACGCGATTCGTCAAGCGGCGAATGAAACATATGTATACGCGTAGGTATAACCTGTTGATGCATATATAGGTATATAAACATATAAACGTTCTAAACGATATCAAAACCATTCATACTCGAATTCACTTTAATTTCATAATTTTTGAGTGTATTTGTTTATTATTTGTTTTGTTTCAATTTCGTGGGGAGGAAATGGCGATGTTCAATTAATGATTTTTAAGATGCACTTTTTTTCTGTGCGTCGCAGAACCATTTTTCAGTATCTGCGCCGAATTACAACCCCTTTGGTTATCCCCTCCCAATAACTGTAGTCGATACTACCCTATCTACTTATTTTTTTATACAATTTTTGATTTTTTTTTTAATCTTCTTAATTAATTTTTTTCTATGATTTTGAATTTATTAGTTTTATTAGTTATAGAATATTCTTAATTATCTACTAAATATTTTTGGAAAGTTATAAAGAAGATAATGTACACGTAGCAACATTCTTCGTTCGATTCTAATTCGAAAATCTTAATTTTAAAATGATGTACCATGCTTCATAGTTCTTCATGATGTTCTCAAAGTTCGGATAATTTGTCCATATAAGCTGCAATTTAGAATAAAAAGAATTTTGACATTTTAAAATTTTTTCATTATCATATCTTCATAAAAAACACATTGTGTAATATAATAAAACAACATTTTAACATTAAAATTTTCGATTCAAAGTCGATCGAAGAATGTTGCTACGTGTACATTATCCGTCAATTTTTAAACACTCTGTATATATTGAATTTGATTCGAGTTCGTTTTTACGAATGAGACTTTGAGAATTTTCTTGTTATATTATTAAGAGCATTTATTAAGTTGTTAAAATTTTAAAGTTAGAAATATCTCTTTAAAAATGTTTATTTATTGCCTTTATTATAGTCTTGATAAAATGTAATAACTTACGCTTGGTGCTTATTCTTCATCGCAGATGCCTTTATTTTTTATTAATCGATTTATATCATGTTGTTCTTCTCATAATGCATCTTCTCTTAAGCTTCATTCCTCTATAAACTTGTCTATCTCGTCCTGCCAACTTCTCAATCTACCAGGTTTCCTTCTTCTTGCAAGTATCTAATTGATAACTTGTTTTAGTATATATAACTAGAATTCACACTAGTATTATCACTAGAACAGTAGACTTAGAAATTAGAAACTTTCGAGTTAGGTTGGGTTGCAACCCAACCTGAAAGTTTGTAATAACACTATCACTAGAACTAAATAGACTTAAAACTAAAAAGTTTCGGATTGAGTTAGGTTGTACCCTTCTTCAGAAATAAGTTCGAAGTGTTTTCTGAAGAAGGTTGAAACCCAACCCAACCCGAGAAAATTGCTAGTTGCTCTTTCTTCACAAAACACTTTGTACTTGTTTCTGAAGAAGGTTGCAACCCAACCCAACCCGAAAGTTTCTAGTAGCACTATCATTAAAATTAACACTGGATCTAGAACTAAAAACTTTCAGGTTGGGTACATTAAGTTGGAAGGAATCAAATACATCTTGCAAAATTTTTGACACAAAATTAGTAACATCAATACTTGATATCAAATTATTTTTTCCAACAATCAGATGCTACTTTGTATCCCGGCAAATTCGGAGTATATTTATATTAGTTAGCTCAATAATGCATGATAAATCAGAACAGTATGCGTTTTTATCAAGATTATTAAATTTCAACAAGCACTTTAGAACAATTTGACAATGAATTAGTAACTTAATTACCGTTTTCGTTCCTAATAAAAGATCATCATCAAATTTCCAAGTTCCCATCTGTTCCTTCGATCCACGTTGTTATCCTAGATTTCTATCACTTTGGGCGTATGTCATAATTTAATATCTCGATTTTATTCGATTACATTTAATTCATCGGTGATGTGGTGTATTTTTTATTAATCGATTTATATCATAACTGTTCTTCCAAAGCCAAGTTTCCATGCAGTTTCTACACTGTCTCTCCATGCATCGCCTTAAGCTTCATTCCTCTAATAACTTGTCTATCCCGTTTTGCCAACTTCTCACTCTACCAGGTTTCCTTCTTGCAAGTTGCTAATTGATAACTTATTTTGGTGTCTAATGTATATATAACCAGAATTCACACTAGTACTGTCACTAGAACACTAGACTTAAAATTAGAAAGGTTCGGATTGGGTTAGGTTGCACCTTTCTTCAGAAACAAGTTCGAAGTGTTTTTTGAAGAAAGTTGAAACCCAACCTAACCCGAGAAAATTGCTAGTTTCTAGATTTACTTTTAGAAACCCGAACATTTCTAGTAGCACTATCACTAAAATTAACACTAGACCTAGAACTAGAAAGTTTTGGGTTGGGTTGCTCCTTCTTCACAAAATTTTTGACCGATTAGAATCCATCTATGACACAAAATTAGTAACACCATTACTTGATATCAAATTATTTTTTCCAACAATCAGTTGCTTTCTTGTTGATCTAAAGTAGATACTACTTTGTATCCCGGCAAATTTAGAGCACATTTATATTAGTTAGCTCAGTAATGCATGATAAATCAGAACAGTAGAGTAGTAATTACCGTTTTCGTTCCTAATAAAAGATCATCATCAAATTTCCAAATTCCCATCTGTTCCTTCGATCCACGTTGTTATCCTAGATTTCTATCACTTTGGGCGTATGTCATAATTTAATATCTCGATTTTATTCGATTACATTTAATTCATCGGTGATATGGTGTATTTTTTATTAATCGATTTATATCATAACTGTTCTTCCAAAGCCAAGTTTCCATGCAGTTTCTACACTGTCTCTCCATGCATCGTCTCTTAAGCTGCATTCCTCTATAAACTTGTCACTATACCAGGTTTCCTTCTTGCAAGTTGCTAATTGATAACTTATTTTGGTGTCTAATGTATATATAACCAGAATTCACACTAGTACTGTCACTAGAACAGTAGACCTAGAAATTAGAAACGTTCGGATTAAGTTGGGTTGCACCTTATTCAGAAAACATTTCAAACTTGTTTTTGAACCTGAAAGTTTGTAATCGCACTATCACTAGAAGTAACACTAGACTTAGAACTAAAAAGGTTCGGATTGGGTTAGGTTGCACCTTTCTTCAGAAACAAATTCGAAGTGTTTTTTGAAGACCCAACCTAACCCGAGAAAATTGTTAGTTTCTAGATTTACTGTTAGAAACCCGAAAATTTCTAGTAGCACTATCACTAAAATTAACACTAGACCTAGAACTAGAAAGTTTTGGGTTGGGTTGCTCCATCTTCACAAAATTTTTGACCGATTAAAATCCATCTTGGACACAAAATTAGTAACATCAATATTTGATATCAAATTATTTTTTGCTACAATCAGTTGCTTTTTTGTTGATCTAAAGTAGATACTACTTTGTATCCCGGCAAATTTAGAGCACATTTATATTAGTTAGTTCAGTAATGCTAGATAAATCAGAACAGTAGAGTAGTAATTACCGTTTTCGTTCCTAATAAAAGATCATCATCAAATTTCCAAATTCCCATCTGTTCCTTCGATCCACGTTGTTATCCTAGATTTATCACTTTAGACGTATGTCATAATATAATATCTCTTTTTTATTCGATTACATTTGACGCGCACTGTATATTCTTTCTTCGAAAATGACTCCCTGGTTTGACTTTGTTTTTGGCTTTGTCTATTGATCTATTAGATATCACTCTGATTGTATTTTTTTATCTTCTAAGATTATATTTGTTTTTAAATCGATCAATAAACATTATTTGATATTATGTGGTAATTTGTGCCTAGAGTGTATTGCACCAACATCATATATGTTATTCTAGTGACCCATTGTTCAGTAAGATAAAGTTTCTTATTACTTAGGCCTTGAATATTGCAATGTATAATCTTATTATTATCTTATATTTGTTGTCACTTTGTCAATTGAAATTTTATTAAATATGTTAGCTTAAAGGATTCATTGTTTTGTGTAAAATTAAACAGGAAACAAAATTTGTAATCAACCAGTTTTACCCTTTTCAATTGTAATTAATGTCCTAATTTGTATTCAATACTTTCGCTACCGCCTGTTACTAAAAACTTATTCACTAAAAACATCTTTCACTAAACGAAGCCAACGCGCAAACCGAAATTTTAGAAACTTCTCTCGTTCTTTTGTCACGACTTTCTAAAAGAATGTAAAGTTTCAATTTGGTCTTATTATTATGTATTTGAATTACTCCTGATTATATATTATATGGATGATTACGATTAACTTATTGTTTTTTAATTTTACTATTCGATTCTCATAGAAAATAACAGAATAAGTTTCGTGCCATCTGTAACTTTAACGGCCCACCCACAATAAATTGTCTTGTTTCGAAACTTGGCGGAACACAGAATAGGCGTGGTTTGACATTTTAGGGCCTTTAGGTGTGTTCCCCACGATGAGAGAAGTCCAGTCTCTTGAGAATCACAAGAATCTTTTGTATTCAATCACAATAATGTTTAATACAAAATTTCAAATAAGTTCTGAAACAACCACAATATCAAACTAATGTATTACCATTAATAGCTTAATAGCGTTAGCTGACCTGCCGTAAATAACCTTGCGTAGTTGTAAACTTGTTACCGATCGTGCAAATTGCGTGTGTAACTATAGATATAGACTGGCAATGTCAAAACAATAAGGAAGCAAAAAATGTCTTTCAACTTTAATTCTGTTTTCTTAATTAATCCTTAATTAAATCTTTTTTTACTTTAATTTAAAAATGTATTCATTTCTTTTGGTTTGAAATAATTGAACAAAAATTATTTAGAAAAAGAGGTAAACGCATTTTCCAGAAAAAATGTTTTATGCATAAGATGTTTAGAAGTTCATGGTAGAATATAAAATTGGTATTCTTGGGAGGTTGTTTTCTAGGAATCAAATTCTGTTAATTTATTTTATGTATTTT